AATGGTATTCAACAATCGGATAGCGGAAAAGTATAATGATTACATACAGGTTTATACAGATGGTGCCAAGGAACCAGAGACGGAAGTAACAGGATTGAGTGTGGTGGTTCCAAGTAAAGGAATTGGAATTAATAGAAGAACATCTAATATGTTAGGGGTTTATACAGTGGAAATGCTGGCAATATTAATCGCTGTACGATGGGTGGAAAAGACAGGGCAGCATAACGTTTTGGTTTGTTCAGATTCATCATCAGTTTTAGCAAGTATAAGGTCATTCTATTCAAAAAGTCGGCAAGATATACTGTTTGAAGTCCTACAGTCAGTTACAAGAATATATAACCAAGGAAGGCAGATAAAATTTTTATGGGTACCAGGACATGTAGGGATAAGGGGAAATGAAATGGCAGATAAATTAGCTAAAACGGCGTTAACAAAAGGAAACATAGAAATGCAAGTAAGTATCAGTAAAGCAGAGGTTAAAAGTGTGATATGGAAGACAATAAATCAAATGTGGCAAGAGAGGTGGGATAGAGAGGGGAAAGGAAGGCATTTATATCAAATCCAGAGGGATGTTAAATGTTCAGTGATTGGTAGTGGAAATCGCAGAGAGGAAACAGTCATATCTAGGTTAAGATTGGGACATTGTTTATTAAATAAAACACTCAAGTTAATAGGAAAACATGATACTGGATTGTGTGAGGTTTGCCAGGAAGAGGAGTCAGTGGAGCATGTGGTCTTGAGGTGCAGCAGGTATGAGGTTCAGAGAGAGTTGATGAGGAATAAGTTGAGAGAGATAGAGGTTCAGGACATGACATTAAAAGGGCTGTTGAGCACACAACATAGGGCACAGACTAGAATTCTTATGGATTTCTTAAGGGACACAGGGGTTTTTAATAGAGTATGAAGAGTTATAGGAGTATTGAGGAAGGTTAAAATTATTATTATTATTATATAGTAGAATAAGGATGAAGTGTGTGGATTTGTATGCTTGGGGGAGAAGGAGGGAATTTGGGTGTATTAGTCTGTGAACCTGTTGTCTGATCCACACTCCGGAGCAGATGGTGGCGGTAATGCACCAATTACGCTGGATGCCAACCGCTGTTAAACATTAAGAAGAAGAAGAAGAAGAAACCGAAATAGATGGCGGTAATGCTCTTTTAAGAATGCGAACCGCCAATAAGCTCAAAGAAACACAAGCTGGGTTTTTTGGCATGGGAGCTGAACACGCAGCAGCCAGAAATACAGCTTGGGTGAGCCCGAAATAAAATTAACAGTTAAAAAATAAATAAATAAAATACGAATAGAGGCGGGACAATCATTCATGTATGATTAGAAACAGTTGGTGGCGGTATGTGCCTATGGTGCGGAATACGCCAACAATTCCAAAGAAGAAGAAGGAGCTCCGCCCAGAGGCTTTTAAAGTCGGTAATGATTTGGTCTGATGCAGCGTTAGTGTGACTTTTTGAACCAGCGAGTGAAAATGTAGTAAAAGTTTGAATATATCTTATATCTTTTGTAAAGAAAACTATTTATGTTGAGTAAGTGGTCATGTGGCCCCGAACTCTGTGTGTCCATCAATTAACATTTTACCTCTGACTGTAGCAAGAACAGAGTCAAACAAAATTAAACTACACTATTAATTCACCGTTTAATTCATCTAATGTTTTGTGTCCACAGGCTTTCACATTGGCATGTCCTCTTCACCAATGTCTTCCCAATGCATCAGGTTTTTTAACCCCAGACTGATCCATGAGACAGCATTATCATGAGCTCCAGAGACAGGTAGAGCTCAAACCAACTTCACACAACAATACACACACACTATTGCTCAAAAGATCAGGTTCAGCGAGATTTTTTTAATGTTTTGTTTTGTAAAAAGACTCAAAACGTTCTTAGCAATGCTGATTTTGTGATTTAAAGTACAGTAAAAACAGTAATATTATTGCATTTTAAAATAACTGTTTTCTATTGTAATATATTTTAAAATGTAATTTATTCCTGTGATAGCGAAGCTGAATGGTCAGCAGCCATTTCTCCAGTCTTCAGTGTCACATGATCCTTCAGATATCATTCTAATATGCTGAATGGGTGTACAAGAAACATTTCTTATCAATAGTTAAAAATGATGTTTTTGCTGGAATAATTATTTTGTGGAATCCGTGATACTGTTTTCATGATTCTTCGATGAATAGAAAGTTCAAAAGCATTTAAATTACAATAGTAATCTCTCATTAAGTTATAGATTTCTTTATTGTCATATTTGGTCAATTTAATGCATCCTTGTTGAATTAAGGTATTAATTCATTCCCCAAACATTTAAATGGTACTTCAAAAATAATTTAGGTGCTTTAGTAGCACAA